GCTACCAAAAGGTAAAATCAAAACCGTTTTTGCCGCATGTATAAATAGAGTCATTTTCATCCGTCTGTGAAACAGGAATTATACTATTAAATACTATTGCCCCCTATTAGCTCCCAATAGTTTAACTTACGACATGCGACAAACACGGTTTTGATTTTGCCTTTTGGTAGCCTACTACTTAACAATTAGACCTCGAGGTCGAGTGGACTACGAGCCGAGTCCGCGAGGGCGAATGAGCTATAAGYCCGTAGTCCACGAGGCCAAGAGGTCTAATTGTTTTAGTATAAACATACTAATCGGTCAAATAATGAGAACAAAATGAAATATCCTTAAAATAATTTATAATTTATTTATTTTRAYTTTCCCGCGAGTGGWCTATCACAAATTAGACCATTAGTAGAGTAGCCAATCACAGCGCAGTAAGAGTTAAACACTGACTAGTGGTAATTGTTTCACAGACGGATAAAAAAAACTATTGGGAACTAATTATTTAATGTACAATTCCTATTTTACAGACGGATGGAAATGCCTCTATTGTGTCAACATTTCAACTAGCCTGTGTTCCATTTGGCGCGCAATACGGGTCGGGCCACACAGGAAACCCGCGTTACACTTTCTTTCTATATATTTTGTTTGGGCCAACCTTTTTGTAAATATTAAATCATTGAATACTATGATATTAAAAATGCCAACATAATATATGAATATGAATTTTTTTCTTCAACTGTTGTAAAACATATAGTGAACTGAAGAGGTTTTAATAAACGAAACTAGGTAGTCCCTGGCCTGTACGTACGAAAATCATTATGTTGGAGTGATTTACATTTGTAAAGTTTATGGCCGATAAAAATGAATATATTACAAAAACATTATTCAATACGCGCGCGCAAMCAATGAAGTGCGCGCGCAATCAGTTTGCATCTCACTGCTGTTTTAGATACACGCGCAGCTGAAATTCGCAATCAAACAATTTGAATCCSAAAAATTGTTCTCGGCGGGCTAACATTTTTTGTTAAAAATTGRTAAAATGAGAATCTCAATTTGTGTGGCTCTCTTCTATTTGACGTCCATGTCTATAGTGATGTCTGCAGACAACTCCATCAGTGCAACKTGCAAAGGTWTGTTATTTTAACTCAAACTACACCTAAAGCGGATGAAGTTTCCTATAGAACTAATCCGATTTTATGTCGGCAGATTTGCTCCTAAAGATACTCAACGACTTGATGTTTAATTGGATTGTATATGCAGCTAACTTKTTTACAGTAATGTATATTGTATCTTTGGCGATCAATGAAACAAAGAGGTAGGGAAATGAAAGTTATTATTTTCATTCAATCAACTTTAACGGTTGTTAGAAAACAGTACGCGCGCAAAAGCTGGAATTATCGGCTTGTTTGCAAGGGTGTGATAAATACGGTGGCCCATAGGGGACATGCTGCAAATAAAACGAGTTGATGCAAATAAAACGAGTTGCTGCAAAGAAAAAAGCAGTTGCTAACTTTATCCACCCTGAGTACAACCGGTCCAACCGGCCCCAGCTATTCAAAGAATAAGTGGAAATATATGAGACTTCTCTTTGTTTTACTACTTTATTCCGTCTCTTTAGCTTAGTCGTTGTACGAAGGGCGGATAAACGGTTATCCAACGGTCAAAGTCATCCACTCCTTAGAAAAGTATGGCATAGAGTTTATCCGCCGCATAAGAGTTATCCGGTGGATAGCGCSATTCGCCCTTCGTACAACCTACCGTTTGGTAAAAAGGAGAGTAATATAATAACGAAAATAGAGACACAGCCGCGCAAAAACTTCGGTCCTCGGTATGGTGTTTATGTTTGTCACTACAGATCCAGAGCGTATGTTGCTACACATATTAGTATTGCTTGTTTGTTTATYGCTTTTCATGATAGGTTAAAATAAGTATTTATTGATATCTCATTATTTTTCCTCTAAAGAAATTCAGAAGAAGAAAACTATCAAGAAACGTACAAATCAGGCGTTTCACTGAAAAGTACTTCAAAAAATACTTCAGAAACAGAATCCGACGTGAATTCAGGAAAGGATGAAAGCACTACTGATGAACGATCATGTAAAACTACTGATGATGAAGACTCTGGAATCAGCACAAACGGGTCCAAAGAAAATAATATGGCCGAAAAGAAGGGTTTTTCCTTACCAAAAGACACCAAACAGGAGCATTGCCATAAAGAGCTTGTGTCACAAATCAAGAACATTCTTGGTGGCGAGCAAGCTCGCAATGATGTCAGGGTAGAATGTGATTCTTCCTCGGACGATTCGCATGAAGATGACATTCACAGCACTCCACAGCAGAATACGCACATTACCAACGCCGCGTTGATGTGCTGGAGTGAATCAAGCTGTGAGATCTCTGAGGCAGACTTATCTACCGACAAGCTGGAGACAATTGAGGAAGAAATATCATGGAAAAGTACCGATGCAGGTGATACTCCACCGCTGCGCCAGGAAGAAAATCCAGAATTTAGATGTGGGCGGGGTCTTGATGGTAATGGTGGACTTAAAAGTAATTCTCCTATGCCAAGCGTCAAGGAAACTTGTCAAGATGAAAGTAACTCAACTGATGACTATAAGGAAGARCCTCATCCCTTCACTTTCAGAAAACCTTACAACCTACTAAATAAACAGCAATATCGGCCTGCAGGGGAACGTCATGAGGCAAGCATACCAGAGCCAAAGACATCCGTCTCAGAAGACAGTCATGATGTGGAAAATACAAGTGAAAGGCAAATCAGCGATGAAGGAGAACAGAAAGATACAAGAGAAGCACTGGATTCAGACTCTTCAATGATAGACTCTTTTGCTGATTTAGCGTTCAAATTCTCTCCTGGGTTTTTGTATCATTCTAACCGAACCAATAACTCGCCTGTGAGTGGAAGGCCTTCAGACAGTTTGAATGATGATTCAAACTTCAACACTACCTTCTCCGTTTCTTCAATGGAGGAAATCTTATCACCACAGATACGCCGACGTACAACCTCGCCTAACCGTATGCCACTCGACCAGTCGGACGACAATTCACGGTTCATTGGAATACGCCTCCATAAACCAGCAGGATTCAAAGATGTGTATCTGTCCATAATCACCATTGATGAAGATAAAGGCCTGGAGACAGTAAGTGATACCTGGACATTAGGCAATCGTGAAGACATGGAACTCATTCTCTCAATAGAAACAAATCCACAGCTATCTTCCAGCAAACAGTACTGCGGTCGCTACTCCCTGGTATTTAACGACAATGATGAAAGCCTCATTGGAGACGATTCGCGGATGGCAAGAAATGACTCCCAATGTTCATATCTAAATCATCAAGAAGGAGAAAGGTTTGTGGAGACAAGTGCACCTGAGGAAAGTTTCGACCAGTTATCAACGAGTGGTTTTGGCAGGCTTGTGTGGAGAGTAGCCAACCAGCTACGACGCAAAAGCTATAATACGTCACGTGACACAGTTAATTTGTTACATTCTAGTGAGCAGTACAACGACACAAGCACTGATGGCAGTTACAGTGAGCTCCTTGACAACATAGATTCTACGTCAACTGAGATTGTCACCAGATTGTGTGAAATACCACGTGATTGGATACGTGACACACACGTGACACACACCGCAATGGCTGTTGGGTGTGTTGCTTTGACATGCTATGTTCTGTATAGATCTACCTAATGATGCTTATGCTGAACTTTTTTAACTTGGACAACAAATTATTAGCTTGAAAAGCATTCACTTTTTTAGTTGTCAGTGTAATCTTTTAAACACAAAAACACACCATTAAAACAAATTTACAATAAAATGATATTATTTGTTGATGGTCGTTGATGTCTGAATAGTCATAAGTCAGTATCATCGTGGATTATCTCCGCCAAACTTTGTGCAGCAAAATTATAATACCATGAATCATGTAGGCAAACCTGGAATGCCATTTTCCATGTCTCAAATGGAATTACAAATCATGAAAAACCGAAAGCCACACATGATTACTGGGTTTCCTGTGGCAAAATATATACAGGAAGCCCAAAGCAAGCGCATCATATTTGCAAGAACATCGGATCGTAGAACATGGAAGGCATCTTAGAGTCTAAGACTAAAGTCTTTATGAAGATTTGTTGGAAATACACTCTTCAGAGCTAGTACTAAAATGTTTAGGTACATTGCAGCAAGATTTGTAGAGAGAATATCCAGCTTCAAAGCTACTTCGTCAATAGCAAAAAATGTTTTAGGGATGAACTCGCCATCATTTATAWTCTCCTTGCGTTCTTACAAGACAATTGTCCTTAATGATGATGATCTCGAAGAAAAGTTTGTAAAGGGATGGGGCAAAGGTGGTCAGAAAGTCARCAAAACCAGCAACTGTGTGGAACTCAAACACAAACCTTCTGGTGTTATTATTAAGGTGAATATTAGGCTCTGTAGGCACTTTATCAACTCTTTGTTGAAATTTATTCATTGTTCTTGTTATTCAGTGCCATCAGTCTCGTTCTCTGATAAGGAACAGAGCGATTGCACGAGAGATGCTTGAGCGAAGGCTGGACTTTATCTACAATGGCAASCAAAGTGAAATTGGAAAAGAAATAGCTCAACGAAAAAAGAGAAAATCTGATCGTTTAAGAAAACGAAAGGCTAAAGAAGAAGTTCTAAAAAGATCAGACCATTTTTCTCAAGAAGATGAACAAGAATGAAATAATAAAGAGTATATTTTCTCAAGTATATTATTTGTCTTATGGGTTTCCTGTGGTACTCTTGAAAGCACATGCGCAAAATCAGTGTGTGCAGAGCTCTTCAAAATGGCGGTCGATTTGAAGCTAATTTCTGAAACCAAAGTAAACAAATGCTTAACATTCGGTATTTTTAACGGTTTTCGATACCGTATTAAGTCAGTCCTTAGCGTTGGGGACAACAGACTAAGATTAGACGATTAACGATTCGTTAATCTGATAATTTTTGCTCGAAAAAAGAAGAAAAGGCGAGGTGTTAACACGTAATTGTTTTTCGATGAACGAAGTCTTGCCGATCATACACCTTACAAATGATGAAACTCAACTAGATTAAAACCTTTGAACATGGCTCAAGATGAGGATACCGACGGTCATGAGCAAGCTGTAACCGAAAAGGGAAAAGAACAAGCAGCAAAGGCAACAACAAAARCACAACTCGCAACGACCTCGTCCATTTCTATCCTGACCGAGGGCATTGCAAAACATGTAAGTCAAGAATTATCTGTCGCTCCTATCAATGAAGAAATCATTGTCCCCGTCAAAAGAGAAGAAGCTTGTTCTGCGAGGAGTGATCACTTATTGGCCAACGCATCGCCAGCTCGAGCCGTTTCGTCACAAAYACCAAAAGAACTCCATCAACAATTTCGTCTCCTTCATAGTCAAGAACTCATCAGACGCATACTACAATCCACCGGAGTTTTACCCAATAATTTAGCACAAAATAAGAGTTTTGAAGCTACTTCGCCCGTTAAAAAGGAAGAAAATCAAGACAGCGCAATCAAAGAAGAGACTGTTGCTAAGGCTGAAACAACTATCAGCCAAAAAGCTGCAAAGACCTTGAACAAGCCTGATACAAAAGAACAAAGACCTAAAGATTTCTGTGATAATTCTTTAGAGTGCAAAAAGTCCCAAAATCAAGAGGAAAAAAAGAGGGAAGAGGTGACAGATATGGAGAGTGATACCTCATTTGTTTGTAGCGTGTGTAGYTGCAGACAAGATGGTGGAGATCTCAACACTTCTACAGGCACTTTCTCAGTTAATTCACTTGACACAATTGGACCACAAGTTAAKATGACAAAACAAGCCATTGTGAATCCTCCGCCATTGGCTGTTCCTTCAAAAGTGAAGAATAAAGGGAGTCCAAATGTTGAGGAACTCTCAGAAAGACTGCATAGACAACCAAGTCATGAGATGCTTGATGAAATACTAAGGCTGTTACAAAATCAAGCACAACACATGCAAGCAGGTGACARTGAAAAGGATGAAAACCAGAACTCTGTAAAGAAGACTATAACAAGACCCATGGAAACATTGCAGCAGACCAATGTTAAGAATCCTTTGGAAAGTCTCTATGAAGATGAGTCTATTCTGGAAGATGAATGGAAGCAACAACAGCAAAAGTTAATGATGATGAGGTAATGTCATTCATTTTATCAGTGTATCAAAACTTCAATATGTGGATTATAAAAATGAGTTGTGAACAAAACTAGCTTTGATAGATTGATCAAACATGCGTACATTTGGACCATGGACCACTAGCCAAGTTGTGCAATTATAAATCACATTTATAAATAATTTTTAGATATTGACTTTTTGCATTCTTACAACCCTACTCACCCCATTTAGCTTACTAACCTCAAAACAGCTCCAAAATATTTTGATGTGTTTAATAGTTTATCATACAGATCTTTATCAGTTCCCCATCTTTACTGACTATCATCAGTTGTTTACCATGTTTTGCTAAAATAACAAGATATGCAAGGCATGAAATCAATTATATTGCAGCCTGATATATTCATACTCAATGGCCTGGCTCTTTCTAGAGTTTTGATATTTACATGTAGGTCCATAAGGATGTTTTAGAAAAAAAATGACGTCATTTGATCATGTTACCTGTAACAGTGAATGAGTTTAACATTTCATTAAAAAGGGTTTGGTGCACTACAAGTGCTATTGAGAACTAATGAAAAGATATTGCACTTGGAGAAGGTGTATCCTAATTTTACTTTTGAAGAAAATTAAGAAAACTTCTAACAAAAATGGTCACATGACCTGTTTGCAATAATAATTCTCTAATTAGTAATTAAGTGCATGTTCTCTAGACACAAAAAATGTTATAAAGGCAAGAAACAAAGCTGTTAGTTTTTGTAATGTTTCAAACTCCAGGCAGCATTTTGAGTCATAGTTACAATGTAAAAGTCTAGACAAGTGTGGAAAGTTTCATRGTGTTTGGGTAAAAGAAATAGATGATTTTCATATTTATTCCTCATTTTGGACCTGACCCAAGCCTTAACTTTTAGAGTGTTTCAGTAAGTTATAAAATATTATTTACTGCTTTGAAGTATAGTGTAGCAAACTAGCATTATATGTAATTATGGAACTTTGCTGATGGTCCAGAATTAAAAAAATTGCATGAAAAGGCAGTGTTATTACAAGAAATATAAACCAGAGAATGAAAATAGACTTGTCCACAGAAATATTGATTAAGAAACATTGTATGCTCAGTTTTCAGGATTTCTTACAATAGTCAAAATGCATTTGTCTCAATGTCATTTGTTTCTTTATACTGGAATTTGTTTCTTTGTGACATTTAGATCAAGGCCAAATCTACGTGAAAAGCACTCCCGTCAACTAACAGACATGAAAAATTATTATGAGAATGAAATAGGTAAGCTACGAGACCAACTGGAACACCTCAGAGGGAACCTGTCCAACCTTCAAGAAGCCATCCCCCTTAAGATGCTTGAATCTGCCAATCAAAAGCTGGAGTCTCGGTGTCACCTCATGGAGGAAGTTGTTGATGAACTAAAGACAAAATGTCAAAAGCTAGAACAAAAAAATGGGGAGCTTGAAAAGTCTTGTCAGGAATTAAGAGAGACCAATGAAGCTCTTGAAATGAGATGCATCTTCCTTCAAAAGTCATTTCAAGATTCAGAAGAAAAACAAACTGAGCTCATAAACAAGAACAAAATTTTAGAATCTAAAGCTCTTCACTTAACAAAAGTAAATGAAGTAAACACAAAGAACTGTAAGCAGCTTGAGGAGGCGAGTAAAACCTTTGAGAAAGCTTGCAAGCAGCTGGAGGAATCTAATGAGAAGCTTGAAGTACGGTACAGAAAATGCAAGGAAGAAAACTTGAAGTTGTCTGCTGATGTGAGAGACCTACAGGGATCGCTCCAGACATCCAGAAAGTAAGATTAAGATCACTTATAATAAGTAGGATCACTTTGTTAGGTACTATTGAGTTGCAATGAGTATGCCAACCATGAAATGTTGAAAATGTTTCATAATGAGTTATGATTTAAATGATTTATTTTACTGAATATCAGATGGTGAATCTTTCAGATCAAGACTGAAAGGCAGCATGAATCACATTACGTTAATTATATTCTTTTCACAGACATACTGAAGAGCAAAAAATTGTAGCTGAAGCACTAGAGAAAGAAAAGGTACAGTGTTGTATAGTAACAACGACATCATAGATTGAATATCATTTCTAATGTCAAGTAATATAATTAAACTTTCACTCAGAGTTAATTAAGGTGTTTCATGTTTGTAGACTGATTGGGCATTGAAACTAGACCTTGCACAAAAGATGACCAAAGGGGCACAAAGTAGATATGAAGAAATGAAAATAGAAAAAAATGAGAAAGAAACAACTATAAACAAGATGGAAGAACAAATGGCAATTTTGACTGCTTCATGTGAAAATGCAGCCAAGGTGATAATATAACTGTCTTGAACACACTTGTTTATATATCATATTAATTGTATTTAATCAAAAGTGTACTAATTAATATTTCCTTTAAATAAAATTGATAGACCAAGTCAGAGCTTGAAGAAAATGCTGAACGTGATAGAGAATTATTGAAAAGGGTAAGTGTCATTGCCACACAGTAAATTGTTATCACCATTTGATAAAGCCTTTAATGAATAGTAATCAAGGGCATTCTCAAGTGTGAAAGAATGGTTGCCTTATAAATAAGGCAAAAAAGCCTCATCCATATGCCATTTGATAAAGTAGCAAACTGATCTTTAGCAATCTGTAAATCTCAATTAATTTGCATTTATATTAATGTAGCTGCTGACAGAATATGATGCATTAGTCAAAGAAAACCAAAAATTAAAGGTAAGAGAGCACAATAGCTCTTAAAATGGCCAAAACAAATACCATGTGCTTTTCTTGTATTTTGTCAATGTAGTTGGAAGTTTGTGTTGATGAATGCAAATTACTATAAGTGAGTTTATGGATTTACATGAACTTTATGTACAACAAGTATATAGTAACATATTCTATTCAATTCTATTCTATTATGTTCTGTTTTCTTTTCTCTGATGGTCAGTGTTTAGAATTTGAATATTTAGTATACTGCCATCATAACTGTATGCTCATCATTCAACATCGTTAATGACTTTTTCAGGATTCTGTTGGTTCATTGACAAATAAATTTGACATTTCACAAGATGAGATTAATGATCTCAGAGGGTAAGCCATTCTGCTATTAGTCAAATTTTGATTCTAATAGTACTGGAGTAATCACAAAAGAAAAATTGCTTATTTTCGCTAATTCAACCATAAAACTAGTTCACTTGCTCTTGGTCCTTGCTCTGTGTACTTTTTGCTCTGAAGATCAGCAATAACATGCAAAAATGAACTATAATAAATGTTAATCAGTGAAAAAGAAGCTCAATTAATACTCACAATTCAAAGCAATCAAATTATTTCCAACAAAGCTAATCCATGATGTCATCTGTTTTTGTTAGCACAATCAACACTTTGATTCATCGCAACACAAATCTGGAGGAATCACTCAAGGAAACTCTCTCTCGTAGTGTTAATAAGTATGTGGGATGATATAATTTATATATTTTCTTTTACTTGACGTATATTAGCGATGAACATCTTAATTGTAAACCTTAAGTCTTTGTGTATGTGGTCTTTACAACTATTGCATAGCTTTTAATATATCATATCAAATGGATCACAGAAATTGACCTGGAACACACTGTAGRAATAATTTGCAATACTGATTGACAGTATTCAGTATGCTCTGAATGAGATATTTTATAGGGAACTAACATCCAATGCTCATGAGTGAATTTATTTTTTACTTACTGAGTACTAGTAGAGCCATTGCAGACAATAACCATTGGTTCTATAAAACACCAAAAGTTGACTATGGTTACTTCCTGTTCTAGATCAACACCTGAGACTGGACCTCGCAAGACTTGGGATTCACCTTCAACTTTGAAACAACCACAGTATGTATCACAGCCATCCCTGTCTAYCTTTGACTCTATATTTGATGGTTCGAGTACCGCTATTAAGGATGATGACAATGAAGCACAACAGTCCACTACTCCACCCAGGTACTTTGACTACATTGGATTGTTTTTTTGTACACAGTGAGACTAAATGTTGTTTGGAGAGTGCTTCTCACTTTGATATAGTCAATGTAATTCAATAATAATAATAATAATAATATGTTGTGGGCCTTTTTTCCTTTAACAAAATTTTATAAAGATGACATAACAAATTAAGTTGTCGAAAAGGATGTCCAGAAATGAATAGGGCAATATATATGTGGACATTAGTTAGCCTCTGAAACATCTGTTTCTGGTCGTTCTAAGATCATATTACTAGTAAGTATGACATTGCAAGTTTTAGGTCAACTTATCTTATGCAAATATTTCTAAAAATCATATTATGATGATTTATTTGTTTGGTTAGCCTCAACCAACAATAGTAACCATGACTTATTTCCCCAAATTTGYTTGAAAAATAATACTTAATATATTTATGACAATTTAAAAAATGTTATTTTGTGTTGAGATTTGAGACTTTGCCATTGATGCAAACCTTGTCATAGACGTAATGTCTGTGTGATTTAAAGGCCCAGTGTGCACCATTTTGCTTTGTGCACCTCTGTCATTGTTATGATTTATACCAAAATACTTCTAGTATCCAAATATCACCATAAAACGAATGTCAGATGATTGAAAACTCTAATATTAGCGTTTATATAAAAGTGAGATGGTCAAAGATTCGAAATGCATAGTACAATAATTATAGACTTTCGGTAAACTGAAAATTGCCGCCTCCAGGCCCCAAAGCATAATGGTGCACACTGGGCCTTTAATGTGATCACTTGATTATATACATCTATCTACAAGGCTTCTTATTCTTTTCCTTCAGTGTCAAGTTTGAAATTCCATGGGAGAGACCAAAGTCCAGTACTCCAACTAAGAGCACTGCCAAACGTAATTTAGACAAGTCCTACAACAAACCCTCACCTAATAACCTTGTCGTCAAGAAATCTGACTTGGTCACCAGATTTGATGTTGTCTTTGAAGACAGTGAATCAGGAGCTGAGGTTAAAAGGTAATGGTTTGTAGTACACACAACAAACAAACTGTAGAATTTTTTAACACTCTGAGCTGACAGCATAACATACCATACAAATAGATGCACACTCTCAGCTGAAAGAAAAGAATGATTTTTTTTGAAATTTTTGAACTAAAAAATGTAATGAAAAAACAAATTGCACATCTATGTAATATGCTCTGACAGTCATATGCTCTGTAATTCACTCTTGAAGTCATATAAAATTTTTATTGCTCTCTCCAATTATTGTAAATAGCTCAACCTTACACAGGATGAAAGCATGATGACACTGAAATAATTATTGAAACCATTATTACATTTCTTTAGGACACATACTGGCAGGACAAGTCGATCCCAAGGGGAGTCCCCCACATCAATATTTGTCTCCAATTCAGTTACTGATGTAAATGAATCCTCTTCATCAAACCGCATGGTGTCAAATGCTGCTGAAGCTGCTTTGACTGCTCTTAAATCAGGCCGAGTGGTATCACAGGGGGACTGGGAAGGAAGTAAGAATACTAAGACAAGAAAGGAAAAGAAGAATGAAAAAAAGAAAACACGTCAGGTTAGAAGTTGTAATGATATRATCTTATCTGGGATATCTAGTATTTGGTTTTGTAGTTCCATGGATATGAATTGTTGCATTTTGGTCTCATAAGAATAGTTATTTACTTTTTTCTAAACAATGTTATTGTCTTCTGAGTGCATTGTGTTATAATCATCATGATGTATCTATGTATAATGCATGTAACCATTTATTTCATGATTTTAAACTGCATGTAGCAAGGGCATAATTCTTTCTGTGTATCASATCCTGGACCATCCTAACTATGGTAGATTCAATTTGATTGACAGATTGATTGACTCATTTATTTGTTCTCAAATTCAATAAGTTTGAGGATCAACAAAGAAACATATTGCTAACAATACAATGTTCAAAAAACATTCAACATTTTAATGTTGATATCAGCCATCTAGTAATTCATACAATGCATTATAGATCAATTTTCCGTAGGAAATTATGAAGAATTATTCTTGAACTTGATACCCTCATCAAACCACCCATTCAATAATCCCAAATTTCTATAGGATTCTGTTCTTGTTTTTCTATTAGTCAAAACCTGCACATTTGGATGATACAGAAAGAAGTGACCGTGAGAACGAGGTGTCTAAACTCGAACGAAAGTTTTCATCATTAACRGAGGAAAAGTTGAGGGTAAATATAACACATAATAATCACTTTAATGATAATTATAATATAATAGCAAATCAAGGAAGGGACTTGGACAGAATTTGTAATTGCTAATTCTTAAGTTTGAATAAGCTAATGTTGAAAATTGAGCAAAATCAATTCTTAGAAGATATGAAATAGTATCATGATTTTTCAAAAACATTAACAAAAAGTTCTATGGAGATTGGTCTGGACACCTCRGCTGGTCACAATACATTTCTTTGTATAAATGTATGATGTATGTAATATATTTTTTTATTGTTTCTAGCTTGAGTCAACATTAAGCCGTATACCCACACACCGTGTCACAAAGCGCTCAAAGGATGACAAGGTATTGCAAGATGATTATGGGACTGATGTTGAGCATATTAATAATTCTGATAATAATGTTATTGATTATGATGGCAATGCACAATGTTGTATACAGTAAACAATAACAAGAATAATTCTTTGTTTAGGCATTCCTTGAGAATAGATTGGATGAAGTCATTCAGGATATTGGTTCAGTACGGATGCAATTACGACAGCTTCATGCCCTGTGAATCATTTATTGTAGATAGAAAAATATATATTTATTGCTTGACTTTTGGTGTATATTGTGATGTTTTTCAAGCGCCAGTCCAAACATGAATGTATTTAAAGTTTATCTTATAATCCATCTTACATTGAGTACTAAATTTAGTGATTATGTAAAGAAAGTACAGACCTGACACATTCATACTAAATAAAACTCTTTATTTGAATGCATGTTAGAGTGAATGATTTATAAAGTAATTTGGCTATCAATAGTTATACTCTATGACAAATAATGCAAACCCAGATGTTTCAAGCTCCTTTTTTTGAAAAAAAAAGATGACTGGCTATGAGTCTGATGCAACAACATTGGACACTGTACTCAAAAGCCCACTTAGGAATATGTGACTCTAGGTGAATGCATGATTATGTACAACAGAACTGATGATAGTGATCAATTATATATTGTTTCCCAGGAGCATTGTCTTCAATACTCCAGTTTTGAGTTTCTTCTGTGCAAGCTTAGCTTCAATGAGCATAATTTTTGTATTGTCTCCTTTGTACAGAGAGTATTTGCATTACAATAGGATCTCTGCTGAATAAAAAAATATACTAGTAAATATGCTTTTGAGGTTAAGGCTGTGCAAATAAGATCTCGAAACTGGAGTCTTCTTTTGTGAAYGGAGTGTCAGCTGCTGTTTGACACAGGAAGGGAGTGGGGCATCATAACTTAACTTTTAGAATGACTAGCCTGGGTATTAGCTAGCAGGGTGGGGTTTGTGTCTACTCAAAATCATGACTGAAAATGTTCTTCAGTATATCTATGAACAGTAATACAGCTATATGCAGAAAATATTATCTTTTTGGTCACATTCCATCATCGGGCCAGGAGGGAAGGGGAAATCATCTTGTTTTCAAAATTCTCACTATGTATTTTTTTGTGTTATTTCGAGCTTGGGCTTCCTGTACTTCTTTCGTTCCAGGCTCTCTTCTATCAGCGAAAGTAACGCCTGGCTATATTTGCAGACAGACCTGTGTGCATATCTCATCTATTTGTTAAAACATTGTAGTATTTGTTAAAATGAATATATATCAAAGAACATTGAAGCTGAAAGAGTTGCTTTATTGCTTCAAGAATTGCTTCTCAACAAATATGCAGCTTTTGCGCAAAGACAAAGCTACTCTACTGAAACAGCCAAAGGACGTAACAAAAAGGTGACAGAGATGATTTGCCATAATAAAGTACCATAACTTGACAGTTTCAGGATGTTTCCAAAATATATCATTTACAGACCAAACCGTGAATACCTATTTGGGGTTGGTCCATGTCATCTTGCGTTAAAAAATGGAAGACGAACTGTTTACAAGATATACATTAGGGACGGTGCTTTAAATACAGATAGGTATGGAAAAGCTTCTTTTATTTAGTTAATGAATTTAATTTGGCACACTTCAGSCAAAGTGKACTGTTATTGAACTAGTGRTTCAGGCCCAGAATTCAGATGAATGTGCAAAGGACATGGATGTACCATAGTCTCATTAACTTGGCTGTTATTAATTTCAAATGAACATACTCATTAAAAAAAATACACCACCATCAGGGAATGGTTGTCTTGACATCCGGCTTGACACAAATATTTTAGATATACATATTTATATACCAAATATCTTTTGATTAACTTAAAAAGTATGGGATGCCTGACTGAGAAAGATTTGCCTATTGTTATTATAGAAAGGTTTTTGAAGCTATCCCATAATTCCAAAGCAAGGTGTATTTCATTTTGTTCTTTATATTGGATACCTACAGGAAAGACTTTATGGAGATAAGAAATAAAGCAGAGCAGATGGGCCTACCACTTCTACCAGCAAGTAAGAAAAAGCTTTTGTCTTTGAGTGGAGGAAGACCAGCTCAGGTAAAAGGTGAATCCATATGATGATTTAATAAATGATTTATAATCCCAGATGATATTGACATTATATTAATAAATTTTAAAATTAATGACATGGATATATCTGGCTTAAAAACAGAGACAATTAATCCACAGTATAATACATTGTTCTTTTTATGTTGAAAAAATTAAGAATTTCTGAGGAATAAGCTGTATGTAGTGCTGAGTTTTCAAACTAAGAGAGAATTTGGCCCCAGAAAACGCATACCTTTCAGACTTCACATTTKTTTGAGTTCAKTTGCTGAAATATATTTTGAAATTAATTTATATGTGCATGTTCTAATAGCGCTTTGATGTTTTACAATATGTAATATTCATTGCAGAATATAGTAATGGAAGTATCACCTTTGATGTTTTCAAAATTTGAACATATCAAGGAGCAGAGCTGCAGGTATTGTATTTGAATCTTTTACTGCTGAATAATTCTATTTAATGAAAGGCATAGATTGTATAAAGCACATTTTAGGAGTGGGATTTCTCTTTGCAACCAATGATTCCTATCACTTGCATACCAGGTACCAGATGATCTTTGTAGTACTAGGAAATACATGTATATTGAATTCGGACCAGTTCTTTATATGAGTCACTTTGACTTTCAACATCCAGACTGCATTATATATAAGCCAATGTTTTTTTAAGATATAAATTCAAACTATATGCTATTATACAACTTTTATCAGATCTAGTGTATGTATTCTTGGACCACTGGACACTATTATCTCGCTCATTGGAGTCATTTTCGTATAAGTGGGAAATGGACGGTAGAAATTACTGCACAGTTACCACACAGTTACCGGACCTGGGCTGTACAATTGTTGTGAAGCAATGAGACACTAGAATTTGGTTACAGTACAATTCTCACTCATAGGAAATTGACTCTATTTAATTCTCACTGGTTTTTCAATAATTAGAGTCATCACACTTGTACCGTGAAATATGATCAAAATAAACAGTAAATATTAGTGTCTATTTATTGACTAATAGTAGATATTACTGAACCGAACACAGTTCATGAAAACAAAAGGCAATACACAAGAGACTTGACAACCGCCATCTTTATTTCATGTACAATCAAGACAAAAGACACATCTAAAGCTAAAAAAAACACACAGTACGCAAGGAAACGCGTTTCACGAATCTTTATTTATTTGCGCTGCTGTTGAATCAAGACACAAGACACATCTAAAGCTAAAATAACCACAAAAGACGCAATAAAACGCGTTTGGAGTCTTTATTGTCTGCGCCGCAGCAAAATTATGACAGAAGACATTTTAAGGCTAAATTGAAAATACTGTAACAATAGCAAACCCAGTGTGCAAATGAACGTGTTATCTAACGTGTTTATTATAAGAGCCTAACCTAAAAATCAAGACAAGACGCACTGAAATGACCCGCAAAAATC